AAAAGAACGAGTTCAAAGCATTTCAGTTGGAATAGCAATTCAGCGTTGGCCTAACCAAATGATAAGTAGATTAAAGCATAACCAAGTTGGCACCTTTGAAGCCCCTTCACTCATCAGAAACGAAAAATTAACCATCCCAACCGCCCCCCCAATGTCCAACTAATTCAGCGCATGCAGTCAACAAGTGAAGGCACTCGAAGCTCAATCCTCCAATACCAAACAGGCTAAAGATAAACAAGAATTGAGCACAAGATTCAGATAATATCCAATCAAGCACAGCATCGCTCAGGTCAGCTAGAAAGCAACAGTCGCAGACCCGCAAGAGAGCTGAGAATTCAAAATTCAATCGAGCGAACAGAAAAAGGACAAGCTCACAGGGATTCCAAGAGAAGCGAGAGCGGAGACGGCGGAATCAAGCACAGGCTTGCGACGACCCATGATGGCGACGCGAGCTCCATGCTTGCCCAGTTGGGTGGAGATCTCAAACCCGATGCCGGAACCGCCTCCCGTGATCAATGCCACCTTCCCTTTCACGATATCCCCCCTGAAGGGCGACTCCTTCCCCATATCTCTCCCTCTCTCTCTCCCTCTCTCTCGCTCGCTCGCTCGCTACCCGGAAACGCAAAGGACTGAGAATGGACGACGGTGGCGGTCTGGTCACTCATGAGTGAGCGGAAAATTGGCTTCAAATAGCAAAAGAAACATGTGCTCGTTGGATCAGTTGGAGCCTTCTGGTCCGTGTTTTTTGTGAATCGTATGTTTTTTTTTTTTTTTGGTAAATTGTGAATCGTTTGTTGGTTGGTACTTACACTAAAAATTGTGGTACCCGAAGTAATTTCGTAAAAATTGATGTATCTTCGAACACCCTTTTGCTACGTAACAGCTATACCAAGCGCACATGACTCCCCTCTCTATCCCATGTTCGAACGCTTGGGCTTTGATGACGGGGAGGGGCACCAATGCAAAAATTGATGAGCATGGGATAGGCCTTTCAAATGAATGGGTCGGGTCGGATAGAATTTGAATGGAATTGAAAGTGTTCCGACCCGAGTTGACATATTTAATTCATATTGACCCATTTTTGTGGAATACAGTTTTTCTCATTTGCTTTCTTAATTTAAGTTTAAAGTGGGTTTATTATGGACCCATTAAATAAAAACCATTTCGTTTGGCCTTTTCTATAACTCATACATAAGTTTGAGGCAACTCTAATATAACCCACTTCAGTAAATTTGAGTTAAAACATAGTCTTATCATCCATTTCGATAGCAGGAGATCAAATGATCCCTCCCATTTCCTGTCTCCAGGTCTGGTTCAAGGCGGCATAGGAGTCGATGGGCTTTCCCTAGGCCCACAGTTGATTAAAGCTGCAAGCTTTTCCACATCCCTGGCCAATCAATTCCCATTACAGGGGCTTTCAGTAATCGTTTCTGCTAAACTTGACACACAATAATGACATGTTTGGATTTGGGGGGGAAAATGAAAAAAACAGAGAGACAATGGAGGTGCACAACTTGACTCTGGAATGGGACAAGCAAGTGAGAAAGACTACCTTGGATGTCTCGTTGCTCGTTTGGCCGGCCAAGAGTGGGAACAAGGCACATTAGTCCATTGCTCTTGACAAAAGTGGGGAAGGGTCCCACCTTCCGGTGGTGGGTTCGATAAACCTAAAAAACCGGCCCCTCATCTTTCTGTCTTTAAGGCCGGCTATTGCAGTAAAACTTCCCTTTCTCTTCACCCTTGTCCCTCTCCCACTTCCTCAAACCTAATTCCCTTCCTTACTTCATATTCTTATGTCCCTCAATGAGCCATATGATGCTGATACATCCTTATATCTGTCTATTCGACATTGATGATGACGATTTTATGTTGAGCAGATAAATGCAAATGCAATGTGACGGTGTGGTCAATTTTGAAAGGTTTGGGGAAAAAAGGATCGTGAAATAGTTTTCAGAAAAGGGCAATGCTTAGTCTTCGTCTGGACATGAAAGTCGCTCGAGTTAATGATGTACTCAATATGCTCGTCAATAAAAACAACAAAAGCATGAGCCACTCTCTCTCTCTCTCAAACAATGCCCAAAAGAAATGGACTTTAAATGAAGTTTGAGGAGAGGAGTATGGTTCTAGCTGTTGACCCTTTCCAGGTGAACCCTCTCTAAATGCATCCTCAAGAAATAAATACGGATTGCCACCTTGTAAAGTCTTTAGTACTATTGGCTAATTGTACATAGTTCACATCTACTATGATTTCATTCTGATACATGCCAGCCTTGTACCACAGTATTGACCAATGAGATATTGAAGCTACTTTAGCTCCAAGCAGATGGAATATTCTTTGGTTTTTTAACATGGGTACAAGGCATACCTGTCCCCACCATCTTCATTTATAACAATGTGTCCCCCAAACTCATGGGCCATTCCTCACTTATCCAAGTTCCTCACCTCCTCCACTCCTCCTGCAAAGAGTGAAGCAATGGAAGCTCTGAATGGATGGCTCTACTTCCCCATGCATCATGACAGCCTCAACCATGACTTTGCCTTGAGAAGATTTTGCCCTGCCAGGTTAGAGCAGGAACAAGGCCAGCCGGGGCAGTGGGAGGATGAGGACGACACATTGTGGATCCAGATCGATCCGCACTGTTCTCCCAATAGCGACCATGGCAACACCCCTCATCTAGCTTCCTCATCCGAGGTCGACGAATTTGTCGATAGCTTCATCAACATGGAAGATCATCATATTCATGACAATGTGGGTGAAATTTACGGCACTGTCATAACCTTGGATCAATTGGAAGAGGACATCGGAGGATTCTCCTTCTCCATGGCAAACGATGAGTGCGGAGATCACCTGCCTCTCATGATCAACAACATTGAAGGGGATGAGATGGACATCATCACAGAGGAGTCGAATCAAAACTCCAAGATTGCTCAAGGCACGATCAATCAGGAGGCGAGCCAAGGGGTCGACCAAGGGCTCCACTTGGTCCACTCATTGCTAGCGTGCGCTGAGGCGGTGGGGTGCCGAGACATGCAACTTGTCAACTCTCTGCTCTCCCAAATCTGGTGGTCGGTCACCCTGCTCGGCGACTCTCTCCAGCGCGTCGCCTACTGCTTTGCAGTCGGATTGAAGTCTAGACTCTCCCTTCTTCACAATGTCAACATGAATGGCACTTTCTCCGCAATTACCCCAACTAACTCATCAAATGACATGTCCCCTCCTCCCATTACCAGGGAGGAAAAGATGGAAGCTTTCCAACTCCTCCACCAATCCACTCCTTACATTGCCTTCGGCTACATGGCAGCCAATGAAGCAATTCATCAAGCCGCTCACGGGAGTGATTCGCTGCACATCATCGATCTAGGTCTCCAACACACATTGCTCCAGTGGCCCTCTCTGTTGAGAACTCTGGCCTCCAGGACAGAGGGCCCACCAAGATCGCTCCGGATCACGGGACTCATCGGTGATCCTGATCACTCCCCAATGATAGAATCTGCCATGACATCCCTCGCTCACGAGGCCGCTTCGTTAGGTATAACCTTGCAATTCAACATCGTGACGGACCCGCCGACCCCGTCGCTCTTCACCAGAGAGAAGCTCGGGATAGTGGAAGGAGAGGCATTGTACGTGAACAGCATAATGCAGATGCACCAGTACGTCAAGGAGAGCCGAGGCTCGCTCAAGTCCATCCTGCAGGCCATCAGGAAGCTTGGACCGACCCTAATGACCGTGATCGAGCAGGACGCAAACCACAACGGGCCCTTCTTCCTAGGGAGGTTCCTGGAGTCGCTCCACTATTACTCGGCCATATTCGACTCGCTGGAGGCGAGCCTGCCTAGGAGCAGCGTGCAGAGGATGAAGATAGAGGGTAATCACTACGCGGAGGAGATAAGGAACGTGGTGGCGTGTGAGGGGTCAGAGAGGAGGGAGAGGCACGAGAGGGCAGATCAATGGCGGAGGCAGCTGGGGAGGGCCGGGTTTCAGGGGGTGGGTCTGGGGAAGTGCATGAGCCGTGCTAGGATGATGTTGTCGGTCTATGGCTGCGACGGGTACACACTTGGCACGGACAAGGGCTGTCTTCTTCTTGGGTGGAAAGGCAGGCCCATCATGCTCGCTTCTGCGTGGCAAGTCTCGTCTTCATCGTCATCGTCCTCCACCTCATTGCCGCCTTCGTGATTGAATTATCTTCTCGAAGTAGCTTGAACTAGCCAAAGAAACTGGTGACGAAAGAATAATGAGGTGGTCCTCTAGGGTTTTCAAGCTGTGTGTCCAGCAGCAACCAATTTCAATTCGTCGAAGCATCAAAATTTTCATAGGAATTATCGCAAATCATAGTATCGGTTTTGCTGATTGAGCAGCACGAGCGTGGTGAGTACCGATCTTCTGCTTTCCTAACAGGATGATTCGTTCAAATCCAATCTTTAAGGCGATAACTTGCATTCCACAAGTCAAAATTACACATGACATGATCCAATGGTTCAAGAACTATATGACAGGATGATTCAAACTCCGACTCGTGTAATCACTTTCCAATTCTAGTTGTGTGTGCACTTGTTCGTTCATCAGCACCACAGAAACCGATTCATTTTACTTAGCTTGGTTTTGGAACTGTAAGTTCCATTCTCAAGAAAGGGTTCTTCCATTTCAGTAGCAATTGGCAGGAACATACCTCGTGCGTGCAGCGCAGTGCCTGCGCTTTACAAGACGACAACAACCCCTAATCATCAATTCCTTCGAATCGACGAAATGGACGATGCATTTTTGCCGGGACACGATCAAAAAAGAATCGCTGACCTTGGTTTTGGAACGGTTTAGAAGTTCCTATTCTCAAGATGAAATCCGGGAGTCCGCTTAATGCTCTGTGCGTTTTCATCGCATCTCTCTCTAAACCTGCAATTCTCGATCCAAAGAAAGAGCGAAGATTGTAGACATCTTCTTTGCTTTTTCATCCCGATTTTTAAATTAAATTCACTAAAGAAAATATCAGCTGAGAGAGAGAGAGAGTCTCTGCAGTGCAGGGTCTTCGTTCGTAACCGTCCGTCCGTCCGTGAGTGGCTGGCTGGCTGGCTGGTGAGCTCGAGGGAGAATGTCGCTGCGATTGCCGCCGGCCAGTTGCCGATTGCTCGCGTACGCATCATCTTCTGTTAGAAGATCGAAGAAGCCGAAGCGCCACTTCGCCTCCCGTTTCTCCTCTCCCTTGTCTTCCCTGCGAAACGCCAACGCTTCCGTCTCCACCGATTTCCCTATTCCCGGTAGCTTCTTCCTTTACGCGCATCTGCTTATTGGACGCATAGCTCGATTCTTCTGATTAAGCCGCTCTTCTGCGATCGTTTGCTGCCCATTCGTTTGAACTTCGAAGGAGGAGAGGACGAAGTGATGGGTGGTGGGCTTGAACCCTAGAATTGCGGTCGTGGAAATTACGCTGCATTTGATTGATGGAGGATGTCCGATGTTTGTGAATTTTCAGGACTCGAAGATGAAATGGTTGGATACATATTTGGGAGGAGGAAGGCCACTGATGTAGCTCACTCGTGGGTATTCCCTCATCCCATCCAATCTCCACATGTGCTTCCTTTCCTGTTGTTTTGCTTAGACCTTGCTGCCTGTTCAATCTCTTTCCCAAAAGCCCTCGTGGGTCGAACGTGTCCCTTGCTCGTTGAAAGCGGATGCATTCTTTTTTTCCCTCTCTCTCTCTCTCTCTCTCTCTCTCAGAGTCTGGAAACACGTGGTTCGAGAAGGCGACACCGTCGTCGATGCCACGTGCGGCAATGGTCATGATACCTTGGCACTAGTCAAACTGGTTGCGGGTGAGTCGGCTAGGGGCCGTGTTTATGGAATGGACATCCAGGAAGATGCTTTACAGAGTACCTCTTGCTTCCTGGGACAATCTCTCGGCACCCAAGAGGTCCTCCCTTCTGCACTTCCACTCATTAATTTTTCTCATTCGCATTTTGAAGAAACTTAATGATAACAACTAAGTCACTGTAAATTCCATTCCTCTTGCATTGCTGATGCCTTTGGTGGTGGGTTGCGTGCAGATGGAGCTTGTGAAGCTTTTCCCTATGTGTCATAGCAAGATGGCGGAAATTGTCCCTGAGGATGCCTTGGTGAGGTAATCTACTCCCCAGCATCTTACTTCAGCGTTTGGATGAAATAAACTTGACTCCACTCAGTTTGTCATTGTCAGTTTTGCTCAATGACCTTTTCGTCTTTGGTGCTTTTATCAACACGAGCAATCATGTTCTCTGAATCCCTTGTTTTGTTAAAGCAAATCAAACTATTCCTATATTTAATGTAGTCAAGCAAAGGTACAGTCATCCGGAATATTGACCAAGTTGAACGATTCTTGTATGTCGTGTGCACTCAGTTTGCATCTCCTACTCAGACATTTTAATGTCGAAAAAGCATCTTACTGGAGCAGTGAGATGCTTTTTCAGATATACTTGCAATATTAGAGGGCAGCCTCTACCTTTACTTGCTCATGGTGTTTTGCAATTTGGCCAACAAGCTATACCATCTTGAGATTATAATCAATTAATCACTGATGATATTAGCTAATAGCATTTGTTGATATCCTATTGTTTACGAAGTATATGACAGCATTTCACTCAAAGATCTGCAGTTTTGTCCCTTGTCTGTCCTTTCCTTTTCTGTTTTCTCTTATTAGTAGTTGTGGTGCCCTGTAGGCTTGTGGCATTCAATTTGGGCTATCTTCCTGGAGGTGATAAAGCAATAACCACTAGATCAGAAACAACACTACTAGCATTGGAAGCCGCAGGGAGTATTATAGAACCTGGAGGGCTAATCAGCACCGTGGTCTATGTGGGACATCCTAATGGAAGGTAATGCTTTTTGTGCACATTCTGGTCAAGACTGTGCCATCTATTAGCTACTGCTTATAATTTGTATAGGGCTGATAATTCGTGTTCATGTCGTGTCTAATCAAAATAGGAGTATAATACGAATATGGCTAAACCGACTATGACGTGTTTAATAAATGTGTTGAACTGTATCGACACTAATGTGACACTCCTAATAAAGCGAGTCACATGACATGGTTAATATGATTGTCAAATGTGTGTCACCACGTCAGGTATTGACATAATGCAACACGTTAACTTGTTTACAAATAGACGTTCACCTTGCACATGATGAACACGTTTATAGACGATTACCTGTGTTAACACATTAACACGTATCAACATTTTTAGGCAATATAGTAATTTCACTGCACATTATATCTAGAGTGTATTGTTGAGTTAGGATTTTCCTTTTTTATATTCGTGATCTATGTATCCCTAAATATGTTTTTATTTATTATTCGCTTTTGTAAGATAGTGTTATTTTTATGGACTTTTAAGGAGTGAAATTTTTTTTTAGATATGATTAACATGCTAAACATGTCTAATCTTATCGTGTTAAAAAAATGACATGTTAACTTAAATATGTCAATCCATATTTAAATGGTTTAAATGGGTCAAACCGCATAAGATGTGATATTTGTCGTGTGACCCATTTATGATGTAAACCTACATATGCTAAACCAAAGCTGTTCAATCACGTGTCGTGTTGTGCGAACGTATCGTGTCGATAATTGTTGGTCCTATATACCTCAATGGGGACCAGAGACAGTCAGCAGCCTGTTGGCTCTTGCAATATGCATGTCGTTTAAGGAAATATGTGCTGACTGGGTTCTACATTTTAGTTTCTGTACCTACTTTTTCCATCTAGGAAGTGTATAAAAATCATTTAGCAATGTAGGCAGTGACTGAATTAGTATTATTCATCCCAGCCAAAAAGGTGGAAACCTTCTCCTTTTTCTGGCCGAAACTTTTATTTTTTTTTTGGCGAAAGGCTTGAAGCATGAAAATAGTGGGAATTGGGAAATATTTGTAAGGACTGAATAATTTCGGGGAGGGTTTTGCTGCGATGGTGCATCAGCATTGCACTATGGTATCTTGCATGCGCTTAGATTGGAACCATCTTTCTCTATCACTGTGTTCTAGTTGAAAACAATATATCAAAGAAAGTAGAGAGATCTTACCTTAGTTAGAAGTTAGAATAGTATCCGGATGGTAAAGTTCCAAAGCAGCCTTGTATCTACAAAGAAAAAAACGTATTGTGGGTTGATTGTTCTAGATCTGGTCTTTCAGGAGAGTGTCTTAAAAAAAAATTATGCCCAGGGGAATTTTGGATCAACACCGACGTAAAGTCTGTGAAATGTGAAAATCTGTCAATTGTCCTGATTGGCTGATAAAATCACAATCCTATCCATTTACTTGGGTTTTGGCGTTGGATGGTCATCCTTGATTGAGGGTTCCATCCTCAACAATGTATTACCATACGCAGCAATGCACGGTCATGTTCATCTTTGATTTTGGTATGTGCAGGGAAGAGTTTAAAACTGTACAAGCATTTGCTTCTGGGCTGTCAACGGAGAATTGGGTCTGCTGTAAGCTACAGATGTTGAATCGACCGTTGGCTCCGGTTCTCATTTTCATGTATAAAAGATAATCATGGATCATCGGTTTGCTTTTAAGTTCCTGGGATTTCATCCTGCTTCGAGAGAGGAATGTCCTTTTTGCACTTTTCCGCAAGTCATATTTGGTTCACTCAGTTTTTTTTTTTTCCCTTTTTTCCTTCTTTTGAGGTCCCTGTCTTTGTCCCTTTCTTGGTAATTTTGCAATGGAAGTGTTCCCGGCATATCCTGCCTGAAATAAATGTAAAAATAGTCCAATTGATCTCTACAACTTGGGCAAGACATTTGCAACGCGACATGGCAGGGTCCAAAAGAATGAAAAGATGTCACAATCTCAAATGTGTAGTAAGTCTGTTGTGGGTTGTAAATGGGTATACAAGATTATAATAAAGGCAAATGACACTGTGGACCGCTACAAAGCATGACTAGTAGCAAAAGGCTTTACTCAAGAGTACAACATTGACTATGAAGAGACTTTTGCTCTTGTTGTACAACATATAAGTGCTGGTCTCTTTTCCAGATGAATGTTAAAAATATATTCTTAAATAGCGACCTCACTGAAGAAGACTATATGGTGCCTCCTCCTGGATACACTCATTCTTCTAACAAAGTATGTCGATTATGTCGAGCATTATATAATTTGAAACAAGCTCCTGGTGCATAGTGTACCAAGTTCGGCGCCACAATGGAATCCCTTGGTTTTACATTCAATCCTTGTGACATGCTCTCTTTGTTCGACGCCCATCTCGTGGGTCTATTATGCTATTTTTATTTGTGGAGGACATGGTTATTACTAGAGATAATCGTACTAGCATTTCAAAACTCCAACAATACCTTAGTAAATAGTTTAAAATGAAAGGTCTTTGACGACTAGTTATTTTCTAGGCTTTGAGTTTACTTCAAATTTCTCCAATTTTGTATTTCTTAAGCCAAATATGCCACTAATCTTTTTTATCGAACAAGACTCGTGGACAACAAGGTCGCTACAAACCCTATTCTATTTTGACCAATGCTAAAGATGGGACACCTCTGTTGCATCCTATATTCTATCCCTAGCTAGTCGATAGTCTTATATATCTCACTGTTACTCAATCTGACATCGCTTATGCTGTTCTATTTGTTAGTCAATACATGACCGCGATCCCCATACAACTCATTTTAATGCAGTTTTTTGAATTCTTTGCTATGTCAAGGGTACATTGTTTCATGGCCAATAGCTCGTAGAGGAGTGACGATCTTGTAGGTCACCAGCCTAGTCAACATTTAAATAAACTGTCAACTCCAAGGTAACCACATACCTCATGGGGTACTAAGAAATAGATCACTATTGCTCGTTCTGGTACAAAAGCAAAATATCAAGCTCTTACTGATACGACATGAGCAATAACTAACATGGGAGTTTGTCATAATAGGGTAACAGTCATTCATTGTGACAACCGAAGTGCTTCCAATGATTACATAATTATATTTTCCATGAGCGCACCAAACATATTGATCTCGATTGTCATTTCATTTGATATCATGTGCATAATTGCACTACACGACTCGTATCCACTTCATCTGCTGATCAGATTTTTAATATTTTCTTCAAGACACATCCACTTGGGCATTTTTTGAATATTTTTCTTTGAACTCCATTTGACTTCTTTCAAGTCATCTTGAGTTTGAGAGTAGATATTAGATTATATTAGGATTACTATATAGGGTTAGGTTAATTGTAATGTGCAAAGCCACTGGTTTTGATTGAGGTTGTTTTGATGGAGGCGGTTTTTAGCGTAGGTGGTGGTTTTGATGGAGGCGGACACCACGGAATAAGATTTTCGATTATCTTGATCTGTTTAGTTTTCTACGTAGATATTTTTAGGATCTTCGTGATAACCATTTCCATTTATTTTACTTATGTGGAGATTTTTTATTTCTCGTCATGATTCTTGTTTTATTTTTTTTAATGAGGCTAAATAAAATCCTTGTGGACTTCCTTTTCTCTTCCCCTCTTTCTTTCTTAAGTCTCTTTTTGTTGGTATTTAAAATAATTGCTTGTGAAAAAATCGTTATTTCATTTGTAAGTCGCAAACTAATTGATGGGCTCAATTATAAAATTTTATGGCACTTGGTATTATACTACTGGATACTATATTTACGGATGGTAAAATTGTTATTTTATTGATAAGTTACTAATTAATTGCCGGGGCTCACTTGCGATATTGTAAAACACTGTACTAATCTACTTGTGAAAGAGATGGTAAGACCGTTACTAACTAATTAGAGAGCCCAGTTCTCAAATCTAAAAGCACTTGTTTATCTACTATTGGATACTATTGGCCGAGAAAAATCTATTATTGGATACTAGATTTGATAATAATAAAATCACTATGTTGCTGGTAAGTTACAAGTAGTTGACCGAACAAGAAAGTTGCCAATCAATTTTACTTACTAATGATATTACAAGTTGTAACATCATTAGTAATTTGCCAGAGTAAGACGAACTTTCAAATCATAATATATTTCTTTGAGATGGAAAGATGAGACAATTTACTTGTAATGTTCAAAGTTAGGTAGAAGGCGTGAAAATATGCTGGGATCCTCTATCCTGCGTGATGTTTTCCTCGGTGTCTCGACAAATCTCAATCTTTCATGATGAACTCATTTTTGTAAAGTCAATGGTTGGGATTTATTAAGACGGCCAGAGGAGCATTGCAAGGGTAGATGGTCCGTTTTACCGGGGATCAAGCTGGCCGTTTTTGCTCAGGTAGTGGTGGATTTACCGGGGATTGTGGCAGCGGCGACAATTGCAGCGACGGAGGATGCGGCGGCTAACTTTTAAGATATTAATCAGTATTTATATCAATTCGGGTTCTTCCGTTCGTCTAATCAACAGGTTTTCTAATATTGGTGTTCGTAATGGGTCTAAGGTTTGCTAGCTAAATAAGTAGTTGATGGGTACACGAGTTCCTTTTTTTCTTGTTGTCAAAGCAAAGCTGTCTTAATTTAAGTCTTAGACGAAAGGGCTCATAAAAGGGGCGGGGCATCTGAACATAGCAGATCCTTAAGGGGCTTGGGGGTCTTGAACTAACCGATTTCGTGGAAGAGATTAATCGACTTATCGGGCTTTCACGACCTAATCCACTACTCTGTTTCGCTCTCTACTACTACAACGGGCTATTCTTGGATCACAAAAAGAGGGTAACAGGTCCCGAGCTTCCGGAGATAAGTGCACGCTCTTCCCATACGGATTGATCTGCGGACTCCAATGACAAAACTAAAACTCAAACAGTTCGGAGTTGAGTTCCAGACACCTCGGCACCTTCGAGGAAAGAGATAACTTCAGCTGAGTGCACGAGCGCTAGGGTTAGACATTAATTACTACATAGAATTTGTGTCTAATTAAGGCATGGTTTGGTTGTGATCTATCTGTACGTAGCCGTCCATCTATTCCCTTCTTGGCAAAATTCATCTGTTTTGTTTTAATAAAGAATTTCAAGTTTTATCCGAAGCAACTTCCCAGAACCTTCACCAGTAATTAATGTCCACCCTATTGACCACAAATTTCCCATGGCAACCGGTTGGACCTGTGGAGGAATCTAAATTTGTATGTTCCTGTAAAAAATTTGCTGACCTTAATGAATTCAACAATGGAAGGAAGCTAAGTAAGAGACAACGCATGATGCACATGATCTGTCGACAAAAATAAGGTGCATGCCATGTCTTGTGGGGTGTCTTTGATTTGGTGATGCAATTTGTATTAAATTTATATCATATTACTGAAATTTTTATATGATGATTTGAATTAGGGTTGCTCCTCTAGATCTATCAAAAGTCAAATGGTAACTTTTTTTCACTTTTCCGGTCGAATCTAAATATAATGTAAGTTTCAAAAGATTTATGGAAAAGAAATCATAAGTCAATATTCTTTTTGAAAATTTTCTATTATGACTATATGAAATACAAGCAAATCTTTGGTTTCGCATCTTTCGTTTTTGCCTTTTGTTTTGTTTACACCTTACATAATCGACACGAATTGTAAATTAATCCGAACCTAATAAGATATAACTACTATATCAAAAAAAGAGGCATAATACCCAAAAAAATCCCAAACTTTAACCTTTGTCCCAATTATATCCTAAACTTTTTTTTATCTCATGAAAAATCCCAAACTTTTACTTTTGTCCCAAATCTACCACTGTTAGTTTTTCCGTCAAATATTATTGTTAATAATTATTGTTAATATTATTTTTTATTTTTTCGATTTTTTTATTTTTTCTTTTATTTTTTTTTTCCCTTCACCTTCAACCTCTGGCCGGTCGCCGGTCCGGCGACCGGCCAGAGGCAGGGGCCGGCGAGGCTCGACCTCGCCGGTGTTGGGCGAGGTCGGCCTCGCCCGCCCTCGGCGAGGTTCGTCCTCGCCGTGGGCGACGGGGCTCGGCCCGCCCAACGCCCGGCGAGGTCGAGCCTCACAAGCGGCCGGCGGCCGAGCCTCGCCGGATCCGGGCGAGGCTCGCCGGCAATCGGGAGGGCTCGGCCCCGCTCGGCCTCGTCCTCGCTAGCCGTGGCGAGGACAAGGCCGGCGGGGCCGAGCCTCGCCAGGGGCGGGCGAGGCCGACCTCGCCCAACACCGGCGAGGTCGAGCCTCGCCGCCCTGGCAAGGTTCGTCCTCGCCGTGGCCGGCGAGGCTTGGTCCCGCCAGGCTAGTGGCGAGGTCGAGCCTCGCCTGCGGCCGGCGAGGCTCGGTCCCGCGGCCTCGTCCTCGCCACGGCTAGCGAGGACGAGGGCGCGGGGCTCGCCTCGCTAGTTGCTTCGGCGAGTTCGAGCCTCGCCGAGATCGGCGAGGGCTCGGCCCCCGCCGGCCGCTAGCGAGGCTCGACCTCGCCGGCGTTGGGCGAGGCCGAGCTCGCCGGACCACGGCGAGGACGAACCTTGCCGGGCGGGCGAGGCCGACCTCGCCTAACACCGGCGAGGTCGAGCCTCGGCTCGCCCGCTTTGCCGATCGCCGGACCGGCGGCCGAGGTTGAAGGTGAAGGGAAAAAAAAAGAAAACGAAAGGAAAAAGAAAAGAAAAGAAAAAATAAAAAAATCGAAAAAATAAAAAATAATATTAAAATAATTATTAACGGTAATATTGGACGGAAAAGTTAACGGTGGTAGATTTGGGACAAAAGTAAAAGTTGGAGATTTTTTATGAAACAAAAAAAGTTTAGGATATAATTGGGACAAAAGCTAAAGTTTGGGGTTTTTTTTGGGTATTAGGCCCAAAGAAATAGCACATTTTTCAAAGAGGATACTTGTTTTAAGGTT